GGAGGCCCCCAAGAGGATCCCAAACGGCCCAAAGAGGCCCCCCCGAGGCACCCAAGACGCCGAAAAGCCCATCAGGACGACCCTCTACTCGCCTGGGCGTCGTTTCTGGACGGGCAGGAGGAGGGGCCCGAACGACTCACACGACGACGAGGGGCCCGAACAACTCACACCACGAGAAGCCCGAACGACTCACACCAGGACGAAGAGCCCGAACGACTCACATCACGAAGAGCCCGAACGATTCACACCAGGAAGAAGGGCCCGAACGACTCACACCAGGACGAGAAACCCCAAACGACTCAAACCACGAGGAGCGCTTTCTCTCCCTCCTCCTCCGCCTCGTCCTTCTCCCGCTCCCCCCACAAGGAGGATGTACAAGGAGGCGGGAGGAAGGAGGAACAGGGGAGACATGCGGGGCCAAGCGGACACAAGCCTGAAAAACACGACTGTCGGCATCCTTCGCAAGAGTTGCTGTTGTGAGATGGGCTGATGGGGATACGCGAATCGTAAAGAATTGTTTCTCGATCAAGAGCAAGAGACCCTCTGCCAGTCAGAACACACAGAGCATCCAAGTGTACCCTCCCCAGGGTGCACGAGAACATCCGACAAACACGAAGCACACTGGTAGAGGCCTCCTGGATGGGGCCCGAGTAGATGGGTCGGAGGATCGCGCTGCATCGCCGATGCATCGGCGATGCATCGGCGATGCACCGGCGATGCCAGCCATGCATTGGCGACGTCGGGGTGGAGACTATTGGGCCCCACATCGAGCCGCATCGGCGATGCATCGGCGATGCGGCGCGATCCTTCGACCCCATCTACTCGGATCTCATCTGGCAGGCCTAGACAGTAGGGCATCCACCCCGAACCAACCTCGATCTGATACCTCGGCCAGACTGTTCTGTTGCATCCTCGGGGGACCTTGTGTGTCCCGTCGCGGCCGTATCCGCGTTGGATCCGTGTCGAATCCATGTCGAACCCACATCGAATCCACGCCAAGTCCGCGTCGAGTTCGCAGCAAGCCCGCGTCGGGCCCAAGAAAATCGGTGGCGCGCAAATATGGATTAGCGATCCATGGATTTGGCGCGCGGTCGCCAAATCCATGGATCGGGGGAGGTGCCCTCCCCAAAACGCGGCTGGTGCCGCCTCGGTCGGCGGCGGAAATCCGCGATTTCCCCTTGAAACGGGACCCGTCGCTAATCCACGTTCCCTTGATCCATGTTGCGATCGCCTGAGAAAAGACACCAATTTTGTGGACACGCGAGGTCCCCCGAAGGTGCAACGTAACGACTGCACTCGGCGGTGAGAGGCGCTCGCGAAGCCCGGGGCGCAGGTGCCGCGCGGGCGGCGGCGGGCAGGGCGGGGCGGAGCCCCCAGACCTGCGACGAAGCCAGGCCGAGGACTGGGCATCTGAGACGAAGCCACGACGACGGCAACTTCGGGCAAGTTCCTCCTCCTCCTCCACCTCCTCCTCCTCCTCCTCCTCCTCCTCCTCCCTCCTCCTCCTCCTCCTCCTCCTCCTCCTACTCGTCCCTTCTCCCTCCTCCCTCCTCTTTCCTCCCTCCCCCCTCCTCCTGCCTCCTCCTCCTCCTCCTCCTCCTCCTCCTCCTCCTCCTCCTCCTCCTCCTCCTCCTCCTCCTCCTCACCCAGGACGGAACCAAGAAGAATATAAAATCGGGCGAGGAGAAATCGGGAATCTGTTAGATCCGGCGGTGCTGGAGGATGTGTCTCGGGCGCCGCGGCCTGCTCAGAGCGTTCTGGAACGCTCTGGAACGTTTGTGTCCTCGTCCTGGCCCCGTTCGACATCTGGTTCTTTGCTACGTGTTGATGCAAAAACGTTACCCGCACGCCGGTGCCATCTCGACGACCAACAAACTACGGAAGCTCGGCAGAGAATGACGCCGCTACTCTCAGGTCGGGCATATCTTAAGCCTGTCAGGCATGTCCGCTTAGGTGGGAAGAACAATTCAAAACATTCAAAAACAGTCCAAACTAAGAAGACACAAGGAAAACATAGCCATATATATGTATATATATATATATATATACGAGAACCACGCGCGCGCTTCGCGCGCGCTTGGGTTCTAGCCTCCTCATCCCCCCTCATTCGCGTCCTCGTCGTCGTCCCTTCTCGGTCTCCTGATGCTCCTGCTCATCCTCCTCCTCCGCGTGCTCTTCGTCGTCCTCCTCCTTCTCCTCCTCTTCCTCCTTTTCCTTTTTCTTCTCCTCCTCCTCCTCCTCCGCATCCTCCTCCTCTCGCTGGAAACATCCTGTCACCCCCAGCTCGGAGAGGCAGCGTGGACCTGCTCAGTGAAGGAAGTATCCATCTTGGAAAGATATCGGAAGCTCGGAAGCCATGAAAGCCAACCTGGGACGCTCTCAGGCGCTTCTCAGGCTGTCCCAAAACGTCGGGAAGGTCAAAACCGGGCCGTCTTGGGGCTCTCTTGGGCTGGCTTGAGGCCCTACTTGGAGCTTTTTTGGCCATCTTGAGGCGGTCTTGGAGGCATAGGCTATCTTTGAGCGCCGGGAAACTGAAAAGGCGAGGAGGCCGAACACCTGCAAAATCCCGTGGGAAATAAGTGATTTCGACCTTGGTGGCACTCGTGGGAGACCTCTTGGAAGCCTCTTGGGCCGCCTCAGCGACCTCGTGGGCTGTCCTTGGGCCATCTTCGGTCGGCTTGGAGTATATTCTTGGGCGTTCTTGGGCGCCTTCTGGGTCGTCTGGAGTTCCTCTTGGGCCGTCTTAGGGGTGCTCTGGAAAGCCTATTCTGAATTTCAATAAAACAATGGAAAATCAACAGTGCTTGCCTGTTGAGGCCCTGCTGGGAGTCCTGGAGGGCCTCAACGAAAGTTGTGAGCCGTCGAGGAGCTCTCTGGGGCTGTATTGGGGCTCTCTGGGGCACGTCCTGGGCCGGACCGACAGCGAAAAACAAACAGCATGTTTAAAGTATACGTTTTACAAAGGGAATGGGGCTATTTGGGCCACTTGGAGCTCTCTTTGGAGCCCTATTGGGAGTCGCTTGGAGTGTCTTGTGGACTTCTGAAGGTGCCTTCGAGGCCATGTTGGACGTCTGGGAGCGACCTTCGAGCGTTCTGGGTCTGCTCCCGAGCCTCTTGGGGCCTCCTTGGCGCCTCCTGTGAGGCCCTGGAATGCCGAAACCTGTAAAAATACAGGGAAAATGAGCCCCCAGGCCACACATTTGTGGTCGAGGTCCTGGCCCCGGGGCCCCGGGCCCCGGTGCCCCGGGGCCAGGTGAAGGTCCAACACCTGCACGAACAGGAAGACATGACAAAAGCCAATCCACATCTCATTATCTCTGTTATCGCCGGTCCGAAGGAAGCCCCGTCCGTAAAAAAAGATGTTGTCCCAGGACGTCCAACATGAGCCCCAATCGCTTCATAGTGTATACGGCACCTGCATACTGGGGTCAGAGCCTGGGCACCAGTAGCCAAGGAACGCCCACCGATAACTCAGATGCATCACGATTATGCTGGATTGCCTTAAGCACCGTGTCATACATGCAAGCACGCGTGGGCAGAGGATGAGCAGGAGGATTGGAAGGATTGGGAGGATGGCCAGCGGCGGCTCCCCCAATCAGAGGAGGATCGGGAGATGAGAGGGCAGGAGGAAGAGGAGGAGGGGGAAGAGGAGGAGGGGGAAAAGGAGGAGGAGGGGGAGGAGGAGAAGAGGAGAGAAGGAATGGGTGGGTGGCATGACCCGTACTCACTCATCCATGAACAAACATAAGCCGCGCCAATACCCTTTCATGGTCTTGGGGGTGACATGACCGATACTGAGCAAGCTGCAATCAAAAAGCTGATCGACTTCCCATCAGAACCGAAGATAATCAATATAAGCAGCGTGTGATACGAGGGAAACCGTACCATTGCACCCACGAAAACAATCAACCTCAGACCCTCCCAGGCACTCTGAAGGAGAGCCTGCAACCACTGGCAGAACACTGACAACGAGGCACCACCAGGCCTCCCCTTGAAGGGTCTGGGGCATTGCCCGTCCTGAAGAACACCATAGAAACACATCATCTCATCCCTGTTGACGGTCAAGGGCATAACCGATATAGAAGACAACCATCAATCGGTGCTAGAACCATCGCGCGCTTCGCGCGTGCTCATGCTCTACATATCTTGGAGTCGAACGCTTGCCGACGAAGAGGCCCCAGCGGTCTCCAAGAGGGCCCCCCAAAAAAACACAAGTTGTCCCCAAGAGCGCACGAAGGGCGGCCCAAGAGGCATTCAAGAGGCGATTTTTCGGAGCTCCTGCATGTGGACTTCCGAACGGAGAGGAACGACTTCTGCTCCCTGGGGCTCCCTCAGGATCGCCTGGGGTGCTTCGGGGCGTCCGGGAAGCAAGCTCTAGGCTCTAGGGGGCGTTTCGGAGCTTCATGGGGGCGTCTTGGGGGCCTCTTCGGCGCTTCTTGGGCGCCTCTTGGGTGCTTCTCAAAGCCTCCTGGGGACCTCCAGGGACGGAGACTTCCGTTCCAATACCCCCTCTGGCCCCCTTCTTGGAACTGTCCTGGGGGCTTCTTGGGCCGTCTTGGGGCCCCTTCAAGCCGTGTTGGGGCGCTCCTGGCGTGTTTTGGATCTGTCTTGTGAGCCTCTTTGGCTGCCTTGGTGCGATATTCGGAGCCGTCGTGGAGCAACGTCAAGCCGAAAAGGCGGGAACCCCAAAAAACTAATAAAAAACAATCGGCCAATTAATAAAATTGGTGTCTTTATGCCCTCTTGGGGCCCTACTGGGGAGCGTCTTGAAGCCTCCGTGGGCATCTTGAAGCTTTTTGGGCCGTCTCGGGGCTACCTTGGGCGTCTTAGAGCGGACTCTTGGCGTCTCGGGTCCCTCCTTGAGCGTCTTCGGATTCTTATGGCGCTTTGTTGTCACGTTTTGCAAGCCTCTTGCGCCGTCTTGGGAACCCTTTGGGCCGTCTGGGAGCGCTCCTGGGCTATCTTGGAGCCCTCTTGGGAGCCTCTTGGGCAGTTTTTTTTTCCCACCCTGAGCCGCAAAAGGTCTACCAAAAAAATGCTCAAGGACCTGCACATGTCTCGCGTGCCACGCCTACTCTGTTTCAAGGGCTCTTTATATAGTGACACGGGTCCAGTGAGACACGAAAAGCAGCATGCAGAAACACACCCCTAGCACATGCAATCGACCCTGCATCGGCTTTCCGATTCATGTGGAAACATGTCGCGATTGTCTGCTCTCCGTCGCGGCCTGTGTTGGCCAAGACAAAAAATCGCAGGACCCGCTGGCCAGTCACAGCGTGTGCTGGCTGGGGATACAACGACGTGCAGACTCAGCATGCTGAATCGCACCCCTAGGACGTGCAATCGACCCTGTGATGGTCTTGTCCTCGTCGGGGCCTGAGCCAGCCACGTATTAAACTATAGCCTCCATCATTTCCGCTTCTTGATTGAAGCCCCTTTGGGCCGTGTTTTGTTTTTTTGGGGGGAACAATAGGGACGACTGGGCATGTTTGCGCGGCCACCACGCAGGACCTCTGGCGGCGCCACTTTAAAAATATTAAGTTCCCTACCACGCTGGCATTCAGCGAGGCGTTGCTGCCCGCACAATATGCCCGATCTGTCTGCCACGCCCGCCAGCTCCCGAGTCACTTTTGCCGATGAGCGACGGGCGGTCCAGCAGGCTGAAATGAAGACTCTGCTGCCCAGATATACCAGGCCACGCCTGCGAGAAGAGGCAACGGTCGCAAGCCAGCTGACTGCCAGAATAAAGGCCCGCGACGCATACCACGAACAGAGCTACGAGTCTCAATGAATATGGCTGGGTAACCAACAAGTCAACACCTTCGATGCTACGATCCCCGTGAGAGAAGCGGCAGACCCGCATCAAGTCCCGAGCCCTTGCAAATACATACAAAGCTGGAAGGTCCGCACCCCAATGGCTACGAACCCTCGTCAAATACGGCCCAAACATGGCACAACATTGCTCAAGATGCGTGCAAGACGTCCTCGGGACGGCCCAACCGGCCACCGAAGCGGCCCAACCCTGCTTTGCGAGGCCTTTCCAAGAAGAGCCCAGGAAAACGCGAACTATTCGTTTCAATTTGCTTCTTGAACGAATTGGGACACCTCGCCGGTTCGGCCCCCCGATGCTCCACAACGGCTCGGAGAATCCCCAGGACGACTACCAAACGGCCGAAGATCCCCCCCCGCGAAGAAGGCCCCGAGGCGTCCCAAGAGAACTTCCAAGCCGCCCTCCTCCTCCTCCTACTCCTCTTCCTTCTCGTCCTCACGATCCTCCTCATCCTACTGCATATCTGCTGCTCATCTTCCCCTCCTCCTCCTCCTCCTGCCTCTCCTCCTCCTCCTCCTGCCGAAGACTGCGGCAAAACGGCCCCAAGAGAAGAGCCCCACCAAAGAAACGGCAAGCCGCATATTCAAGCTTCCTGCCTCGAGAAAGCCAGCGCCGCCACAAGAGGCCTTCAGGAGGCCACAAACATAGAACCCGTTGAAACTCGAGTGGTTTTGAAGCGCGTGGGACTTATCGCTCCAGAGGCCCAAGAGGCCCCAGGGCGGCCTAAGAAAATGCCCAAGACGGCCACAAACGTTCCCGAAGACGGCGCCGCAAGCCGGAAACGCAAGCCTTCCGTGCCGAGAGGGCTCCCGGAGGCTCAACGACGAGCTCTGTAGGCCCCATAGGACCACTCCTAAGAGGCATCGCGGCTTCTATTCGTCTCTCTTGTTGTTGATTGCTTTCTCTCTCTCTCTCTCGGTGTGCCTCGGTCTCTCTCTCTCTCTCTCTCTCTCGGCTTTCGGGCTCCCCGAGATCCCCGGAGCCCACGTTTGCGAACGTCTTGGGCCCTTCGTGGGCCGTACCGACAGCGAAAACAAACTACGTTTTACAAACAGAATGAGGCTATTTTGGCCGCTTGGATTGTATTGGGGGCCCTATTGGGGGTCGCTTGGAGTGTCTTGGGGACTTCTGAAAATGACTTCGAGGCCATGTTAAGCGTCTAAGAGCGACCTTCGGGCGTCCGGTGTCTGTTCTGGAGCCTCTTGGACCCTCCTTGACGCCGAAACCCTGTAAAATCACATGGAAAATGAGCCCCGGGGCCCACATTTGTGGTCGAGGTCCCGGCCCGGGCCCCCGGACCCGGTGCGCCGTTATGTGTATATATATATATATATATACTAGGCCCGACAGGCTAACGCATGGAATATCACTTGTTGAAGCGCCTTGTGCATCTAACGACCTTGTTGGAGTCCCTGCGCAAGCTTCGGAAGCGTACAGAAGGGGAAATGCGGAAACCACATAATCATAAACTTCCTTTAGGTGTTCGATGATTTGGGGCCTTCGAAGGCTTCCTGGGATCTTTCTTCGATGGTGACGGGAGCCTTCATGATGGTCTGATGGGCAAAAACAAACGGGAGGGTAAATCTTTGAATTGGCCTGGCGAAGGACACAACTAGATGCAGCTGTGAGCGCCGCTGTTGTAGCCATCGCCTTCGGTGGAGCCCCCTTGTAGGGCCACGAAACGTTGTACTGTGTGGGGGAGACGCATGCGGACTACGCCACTGGAACATTTGGTGGAGCCCCCTTGTAGGGCCACGAAACGCTGTACTGTGTGGGGGAGACGCACGCGGGCTGCACAATTGAGCCCTTAGGTGGAGCTCCCTAATTATGGGGCCACGAAACGCTGCACTGGTGGGGGAGACGCATGCGGGCTGCGCCTCTGGGACCTTCGTCGGAACTCCCTGTGGGGCCACGAAGCGCTGTACTCGGTGGGTGAGACGCACGCGGGCTGCGCAATTGAGGACCTTCGGTGGAGCTCCCTATGGGGCCGCGAAGCGCTGTACTGGGTGTGGCGGACGCATGCGGGCACCCCCAGCGGGGCCTTTGGTCCATAAGGCCCTCTCGGGCCGTCCTGTGCGCCTCCGGCGCCGTCTTGGGACCCTCTTGGGCCGTTTTGGGTAGTTTTCGAAGCCTTTGGGACTGTCTTGTAACGGACAATATGCCTCTGGGGCCGTTGTGGGGCGTCGGAAAAATTGAAAAGGCGAGAACATGGAAATCCTTCCAAAACCTGTGGATAAGCAATAAGTTGTGCCTCCCGGGGCTCCTTTGGAGGCATCTTGGAGGTTTCTGGGGGCGTCTTGGAGGCCTCTTGGACAGTCAAGGGCTAATTGTGGCCGCCTTGGCCGTCTTGGCCGCCATTGGTCGTTCCCGCGGTCTGGAAGAGCCATGTTTGGCGATCCGGAGGCCGTATCCGGGCGATCTTACGGTGCCCCCGGCGCCCCAGCAAAACCCCCGGAACACCCCAGTCCCCCAATGGGGACACAGGTCACGGATGGAAAACCGTAGGTTTTCGCTCGAAGAGGTTCCCAGGAGGGCTCCAGAATCCAGCAAAAGGCACCCAGAGGGTTCCAAGAGGCCCCCAGGAGGGCCAGAAGACGCTCCAAGGCAGTTTCAAAGAAACGTCCCAAAAGGGTCCAAGCGCACTGCAAACTCGCTCTGCGGATGAAGCTGGGAGGCGCGGTACCGGCCAGATGTCAGGGGATATGTAGGACCCCCGAGCAGGAGTTCCACTTTGATAAAAAAAAGAGTTCTAGGAATTCCTTCTCTTTTTTCCCAGATCCTCGATCTCTGAGGGCTGGAAGCGGGAAAACGTGACAAGGCGAAAAACATAGGAAAAACCATGGGAAATCAACGATGTTACCCTCTTTGGGCTCTCTCGGGACGGCTCCTCCTCCTCCCCCTCCTCCTCCTCCTCCTCCTCTCTCCCTCCTCCTCCTCCTCCTCCTCCTCCCCCTCCCTCCTCCTCCTCCCCCTCCCTCCCTCCTCCCTCCTCCTCCTCTCCTCCTCCTCCCTCCTGGGGCCTCTCAAGGATCGGGGGTGTGTTGGGGGCCTCTGGGGGGCCCCAGGCCTCTCGGAGGCCTCTGGAAGCCTCCTGCTCCCGCTGTTGTCCTCCTCCTCGTCCTCCTCCTCCTCCTCCTCCTCCTCCTTCCTCCTCCTCCTCCTCCTCCTACTCCTCCTCTTCCTCCTCGCTCCTCCTCCTTCCTCCTCCTCCTCCTGCTCGTCCATCGGGCCGCCGCCCTGGCCTCCGCCCTCCCCCATTCCCCCTTCCCCGCTGCTGCCTGCTCCTCGCTGGTCTGGGGCTGTGCTGGGCGCCTCTTCGGCAGTCTTGGAGCCTTTTTGTCCCGTCTTGGGGCCGTCCTGAGGGTCTCTTGGGTGGTCTTGGGGCGGTCTTGGGAAGCTCTTCGGCGCCCTTGGACCGTTGGAAGCTCGAAAACGCGAGGAGCCAAAAACATTGAAAAGACCATGGAACATAGACGATTTTGGCCTCTTCGGGCCGCACCGTGATACCTATCAGACTTCTTGGGGTCTCTTGGAGGCCACCTGGGAGCCTCGAGAGCCGTCGGAAGGCTGACTTGGGCTGCTCGGGAGCGTCTTGGGCCATCCTTTCGCATTCTGGGGGCTCCTGGGGGGCGTCTTGGGCCCTCCTGGAGCGCTGTGGAGGCTGCCCGGAAAGGCTGGGGGAGCGGTGCCGGGAGCGTCCCCGAGATGTGACCATATCTTTTCAGCGCGTTCCGGGAGCATCTTCCCGGAACGCGCTCGTGGCAGGGCGCCCACGTCCGAGGACGGTGGCATGGGAAACCGCAGCGCATGATCATTCCAGCGCGTTCCGGCGAAGACCGTCCGGAACGCGCTTGGGCAAGCGCTGGGTTTGGTGAAGGCGAGTGGGAACCGTTCAGGCAGTTTGGGATGCTCGTGGCAAGAGGCGGAAGCCATCCTCATAAGACATGCAGTATTCCTGGAGCCGTCTTGCCGAAAAACACAAGAATAATGAGACCCTGCAGTCGTTCCTGAAGCCGTCTTGGAGCCCTCTTGGGCTACCCTGGAGCCTGTTGGAGCCCTCTGCGGAATGGTCTTGGAGCCCGCGCCGAGGATCTGGAAAATGTCCGGGACCATCGCGGCGGCCTCCGAGGCCCGGGACGCCGAAACCCAGAAAAAACATAAGGAAAATGAGCCCCGGTACTCCCATGGAGGGTCGGGCAGCTGTTTCCGGGCCCCTGGGCTAGAACCATCGCGCGCGCTTCGCGCGCGCTCAGGTTCTAGCCCAGGCCCGGGGGACGCTGGACGATCTTGGACAACGCTATCAAGCACAGGCGCGCGACGGCATCTGAGGAGCTTCTGGGGTGTTCCGCATGCTTCGTCAACTGGCTGTTGGAAGCCCCTCTTGGGTGCTTCTTGGGGGAGCGCCTGAGGGTCCCTTGGGGGCATCGGTTCTGCAATATGAAGCCGTCATTGGCCGTCTTAGCTATTAGATGCGTGGAGGCCCGACTTGAAGCCACCTGCGGCCAGATTGAGGCAATCCGGAAGCCTCCCGGGGGCCTCCTGGAAGCAGATTTGACGCATCGAGGGCACTCTTGGGCTATTTTAAAACCTCTTGGGCGTATGCTAAGGGCCTTTTAGGCCCTCGGGAAGCTTTTGGGGTCCTCGTCGGACCACTTGGGGGCCTCTTGCGGTCTCCTGTGGGCCTTTTGGGGGGGACGCTCTGCTGTTGGGTCGCATTCCCCGTCTTAGGCCTCTCTTGGGGCTCTTGGGGCTCTCTCGGGCCGTCTTGGGCGCTTCAGGCACCGTCTTGGGGCCCTCGCGGGCCGTAGTGGGGCCCTCTTGGAGGCCTCTTCCTCTATATGGGAGCGGTATTGGAAGCCTCTTGGGCCGTCTTGGAGCATCGGGATGCCAAAAGGCCGAAAAAATGAAACCCAATCGTAAAACAATGAGTTGTGCCTCTTGGGGCCACCTTGGGAGATTTCTTGGAACCTCGTCGGCCCTCTTGGGAGCTTCTTGGGGGCCTCTTGGATCCGATTGGGGGCCTCTTGGGACTTCCCGACAAAAACTCTCGGGGTAGAAAGCTCAGATTATCGGTTCGTGTTCGCTAATAAACGCACGTTGGTTATTGAGTCAATAAGCGCTCTCCTCTTGAGCCAAGTGCGTCAAGAGGGAACACTCTTTGGAGGCATCTATGACCCCTGTCAGTTCTTGTCGTACAAGGCTACAGTGCTCGGCGAGATGTGGTACACGGGAAAGTCCGACATGTACCTTTCCTTGCTGAACACTAAAGGGAAAACCTCCATCATGGCATCGTCGTGATGCTTTCCCAAGTAGCCAGGACTGGCACATCTGTACGTGAGATTGCTCCAAGTAAGGTACCAATCGTGCGGAAACTGTGCCAACACATCGCGGCGAATCGAGAATGTGCCCTCGCCGTGAGTTTCATGTAAGAATGGGAGCCGCCCTTGTCTGTTGAAAAGCGGCCAACTCAAATCGCAATGATCCGGTTGAACTCTAGCAGGGTGAATTTCCAGCCAGCCAGGCAACTCCTTGACAGGGCGAATTGTGCCGCTGCCCGTATTGCCGTGACAGAATTCAGGAAACAATGCATGGTTCTCCCACGCACTGTCGCACCGCACTGTTAGGTAACGGCGTTGAAACACCCATGGGTGGGAGATGAAACCATAGGAACCATTTCGATTTGCATCCACCATGGACCTTATCATGTCGGGAGATACTCCATTCGTCTTGGTCAAAATCTGGACATCTGGAAAGGTATTGTATCTCCGCGCCAAGTGTTTTACATACGCGTGTTCGTTCCTTCCGAGATTTGCGATCGCCACTTTCTCGAAACCCCGTCTGCGCTCGAGGACGACCTCTTCATCTCTGCCCAACCCGTCCGTCTTCACATACACGGTCAATGACAGGCCGATCCCCCAGGATCCGCTGAGGATGTCGTGGGCCCAGGCAGGGAGATCGGCACCCTCTGTCAGGCTGAAGGCGATGTCGATGCTCTTGGGGGGGGGCGGACGCCCGTGCTGAGCTCCAGCGTGAGATTTAGCAACTGCGGCATGCCGTTCTGTCATCTCGTCTTGCAGCTTGACGTAGAAGTCGGGCGACGTTGCCTCGTAGGGATGCTGCAAGTTCCAAGACCTCAAGCTCGAGGGATCCACAGTTGGATCGTCTCCCTCAGGATCGCCCACCCCCAACTCGTCGACAACAAAGTCACCATCCCACGGCAGCAGCAGGCCGGAGGCGACGCAAGCGTTCAGGGCGCTGAGGACCAGCGCGGCAACTCCCATGCGAGGCCAGATCATGAGCGGGGCACGATGGAAAGAGCTGAGGTACGAGAAAAGAACTGCTCCACAACTGCTCGAGACAGAGGCACTTGAGCCAGGATGGCTTGAGCCAAAATGGCTACGGAGGTTCGTTTTCCCTTATTGGGCCTCTCTTGGGGCCGTCTTGGGGCCCTCTCGGGCCGTCTTGGGCGCTTCAGGCACCGCATTGGGGCCCTCGTGGGCCGCCCAGGGCCCTCTTGGAAGCGTGGTCCCCCTCTTGGGCGCATCTTGGGACCGTCTTGGGGCTCTGTTGGGCTGTCTTCGGCGACTCTAAAACGGTCTTGGGGCCCTCTTGGGCCTTCTTGGGGCGCTCTTGGGGGCCTATTGAGCCGTCTTGGAACGTCGGACAGCCGAAAAGGCTGGAAGGCCAAAATCGTTCGAAAACCTCCGTAAAATTGACGATTTCGGCCTCTTGAAACGCTCTGGAGAGGCGTCTTGAAGCGTCGTGGAGTGCCTTGGGGGGCCTCTCGGGCCGTCTTGGGCCTATCTTGGGCGTCCTGGAGCGGTCTTTCGGCGATTCGGGGCCCGCTTGGGCCGTCTTGGGAGCCTCTGGAGGCCCTCCTGGACTATTTTGGAACTCCCCGGGCGCCCCGTCCTCCCATGGGGGGTCGGAGGCGGCGGCCTCCGAGGCCCAGGACGCGGAAGCCATGTAAAAACATATGGAAAATGAGCCTCGGTGCCCCCATGGAGGGTCGAGGCAGCTGTTTCCGGGCCCCGGGCCTGCTCCCACGCGATATATCTATATATCTATATATATATATATATATATATATATATATATATATATATATATATACATACATACATACATACATACATATATAGATCTGAATTGTCATCAGAAACTATCGTTGTACTATGTTCGAATACTCCTCCTGTAGAGGGACATACCCGACTTAACGCTACTCCTACAAGCGGCTTGTCCGTCACAGTAATCGGGGATGGACAGAACCACCTTTAGCAAAACGTGGTTCCATGAAAACAACCTCGGGCCCAAACCTTCCGGGCGCAAGCCTGGAAAATGACGGCCACGGCGCCCTGTCGAGAACCGAAGACGGACAATTCACTGATCGACGAGTCAGGGTGGGGGCTTTTGTCCACCCCCGAAGCGAGAAGCTGTCTCTCCCCGGGACCCCCTCGCGCCGCGAAGAGAAGCCAAGGCGGACATCGGCTACACGCAAGAGTGACCCTAGGCAAGAGTGACCTTTAGTGCGCGGCCAAGGGGGGGCCCTTTGCGGACACCACCAGGCGCGCAAGCCGCTTCAATCTCCTCGCGTTCGACGATCGGGGGGGCCCCAAGTGGGCCCGCACCAAAGGTCACTCCGGCGGAAGGTCACTCCTACGCGCAATCGAGGACAGCACTCTGCCCGTCCTCGACACTCGGGGGGGCCCTCGCCGGGCCCCCGAGGCGCCAACAGAAACGGCTCGGGGTGTCACACCGGTCCCGGGGGAACGGGTAGAGGGACCCTCCCGGGCGCGAGGAGCGCGCCACCTCCGGCGCCGCCGTCGAAAGCGTGTGCTTGTGCCGTGTGTCTTCATCGACTCTGGGGGCCCCCGAGCCCATCCCCTGAGCACGTCCCCCATCCACTCGCCAAGGTCCTGGTGTGCTACAGAAGGGGCGTTGACCTAAGGAACCCTAAATAAGGATCGAGGCCTCTTTTTCCCATAAGTTTAACTCCGATGTCCCATCGAAACCCTAAGCAAAACCAAAGGCGAACTGCAAAACAACTAAGGAACACCGAGCCCCTCCCCAACGAAAAGGGTTCCTTCCTCAGTGCCCCGACTGTATTCTTCAGCCCGCCTGGAAGGTCAGGGTAACCCACTTCCTGAGCCCATTCGCCCCCCCGCGAGCCCATCCCCCCCTCCTTCCAGCAGGTTCGCGTCGCGCCCCGACTTCAGCGTCGGTTTCTGACACGGCGGGGGTCGTTCCGCCTTGAACGATCGACGGCTTCCGAAACGTCACATCATTCAGCATCGGCCGATTCTGGGTCGCCGGCGGCGTTCAACCGCGAACGTCCTCGGCGAGGTCGCCGCCAATCGACATGACGCGAACCTACCGAAACCGCACCCTCTGGGGGGCCCCAACCAAGAGATCCGATGTCATGTTTCTCAATACGGGAACCCCGGAAGTCTCGACACCGTCTCCAAGACCAGCTTTTCAACCTGCGTCTTGAATTTCTCAATACGTTGGATCTGTGGGAATCCCACCAGGGATCTCTCTGCGGCCCGGCGCCAGCGCCGCCTGCCCGCGCATCGACGGGAGCGGTAAAACGGCGGCGGCCGCCGCAGGCCACCGCGGGCACCGCAGCGGCCACGCGAGGACGGGGCACCTAAGACGAAGCCAGGACGAGGGTAACATCGGACATGCTCCTCCTCTTCCTCCTCCTCCTCCTCCTCATCCTCCTCCTCCTCCTCCTCCTCCTCCTCCTCCTCCTCCTCCTCCTCCTCCTCCTCCTCCTCCTCCTCCCTCCCTCCCTCCCTCCCTCCCTCCCTCCCTCCTCCCTCCCTCCCTCCCTCCCTCCCGTCTCGCGCCGCCGGCTCCCGAGTGGAACCGGCACCCCCTGCGCCCCAGGGGGGCCGACGGCGATGCCGGAAAGAGGTCAGTCCGGCGGGGACTCACCGAAAGGCAGGTTAATTCGCTGGCGCTCTCTGGGAAGAGGAGGAAAAGGCAGGGAGGAGGGGGAGGAGGAGGCCGCGCAGGAGGCGCACCGGCAAGGGCGGCCCGGCAGGGGACGGGGAGGGACGAGGAAGGGAACGGGGGACGGGGGGCGGCGGTGCCCGTCGGCGTGGTGGTGGTGGTGGTCAAGCTGGTGGTGGTCGTGGTGGTCGTGCTGGTGGTAATCGTCGTGGTGGTCGTGATGGTGGTGGTCGTGGTGGCTGGGAGGTGTGGTCGGTTTGCTGGTGGTGCTGGAGGTCGTGGTGGTCGTGCTGGTGGTGGTGATTTTGGTAATCAGTCAGCTGGTGGCTGTGGTGGCCGTACGGGCGGCGGTGGTCCTGAGAGTCGGACGGGCTGGTAGTGGTCGTGCCGGTGGTTGGTCACGTGGTGGTGATACTGGTCAGCGCCTACCTCCCCAGGGCGCTCAGGATCATCTCAGCACTCCCTTGTTGTAGGGTGCGTGAGATGTCCCGCCAGATCCGGCTCAAGAGCTCGGACCGGTCGGCATCCTCAAGAGAGGCGCCGTAGCTCCGAACGAAGCTTACTGCCTCGTCAGACGGCCGCCCCCCGGTCTCGAAGACCATCGGGACGAGGTCTAGGCCCTCCCGGGGGGGGGTACCGGCCCCGTTTGTCGTCGACCATCTGGGCTGCTGCGAGTCCGTCTCGTTCGGCTCGGGCGCGCCTGCGTGGGGCGTAGGTGGAGTGTACGCAGGTCACCGCCCAGTCGACAAAGATGGGTCAACCGGTGCTGGGGTCGTGTGTCCGGATGTCCAACTTTGCTTCCTGAAGGACCCCGGTGTGGGGATGACGGCGATCCCACGCTGGCACGTGTTGTTCCGTCGGAGCAGCATGACCCATAATTTCCTTATGCATGGATGCATGTCGGTCCCGGAGGCGGTCGTGCCGGGCGGTGCGGGATTGGCCCACCTCGCATGACTTGGCATGAAACCCGTGTGGGTCGAGGGGCTCTCCGCACAGCGTGCCGTCTTGTCGTCGGCGTTGGCAGCGCGAACCAGCGGGGCAGACTGGTGCTCGCAGCCGGCACATGAGGTTCACCTCGAAGTGGTCGTCTGGCTGCAGAGGGTCTCCTGGTTGTCGAGGTTGGAGAAACGCCCCTGCGCCTACGCCGCCGCACTCCCGGAGTGCCAGCCGGTCGTTTTCAGGGAGCTCCCGCAGCAGTCGTTCTCGGTTTTTCCCGGAGGCTGCCTTGCTCCACACGCCCTGGAGCTTAGCGTGGGGTTCCTGAAGACTGCGGGCCCAGTCGATGGGCTGTCCAGCTGTCGCCCCCGAGGCTTGTAGCGCTTGCTCGGCTTGGGCGAGCGCTTGGAGGGTCCGCGGGCACCGCGTCCGGAACCCCTCCAGCGTGCTCACGTCCAGGCACTTTGCCACGTCGTGGAGGCAGAGCGCCCAGCTCGCGGCGTAGGCTGCTGGTGCGGTCTGGGCAGCGGAGGGAATGGCGCACCCTCCGTCTGCGAGGCGCATGGTGGCCTGCAGCCTCTGAAGCTCGTCCAAGTGGCTCCCGCGCAGGAGGTGTTCTAGGGCCGAAAACACCACCGCGTCGAGCTGCTCCACCCAGTTGCTCTGCAGATTGGCTCGCAGGTGGTGGGTGACGCATCCTTGGGCGAAGGTCCGCAGCAAGGTGAGGTAGGCCTCGGCGGAGAGCCCAGCCTCTCGGAGGTCCCGGAGTCTCTGGGTGAAGGCCTGCGCCTGTTGCACTGCCGCCGCGCCGTCTTCCCCTGCGCGAACCAGAACCCGGTTCTCCTGTTGGTCGAGCCAAGGCGCCGTGTTTCCCAAGCACTTTAGGTGGTCGACTCTGTGTGCACGGACAGCGTCTGGGAGGCCACTTGTTCGGTCCGCTGACCATGCCTGGGTTTTGCTCTCGTTGACCGCCAGGCCGTGGTTGGCGAGGGCGCCGACAACGAGTTGCTTCGCTCCTGCTGCGTGCTCCGGGGGCGCAAACACCATGATGTCGTCTAGGTAGGAGAACACGTGGCAGGCGGTGGAGAGATGCTGGAGGCCCTGGGAGATCTCGCCCAAACAGTCCGCCACTGCAATGGCGAAGAACGCCGGTGAGAGCGGGCAGCCTTGGTCCACGCCTGTTGCGGCCGTCACCGGCCGAGCTCCGTTGGCGTCGCCCCAGTAGAGGTGAGTAGTGGCGTTCCCCAGCCAGGAGTGCGCGGCGCGAAGGAGGCCGGGCGCCCTGGCCCGGAGTCCGGAAAAGATTCGGGCCCGCGAGAGGCTGTTGTAGGCGTTGGAGCAGTCGAAAGCTAAGACCACGCCGCGCGGGTGTGCCTCGGAGAGGGCGGAGATGCACTTGTGCATGAGTTCACACCCGGCTGACTTCCCCACCGCGTATTGATGCGGGCCGCAGGCCTGACGTATCTCCTCCTTGTACACTTCGCAGGCTGCCTCGGCCGCTAGTCGTCTCAGCACGCCCCCGCACGCGATCGGTCGCAGGCCGCCGTTCCGCTTCCGAG